GTTAAAAGGTCTAAAAATGGAGGTAGAAAAGTTAAGGAAGCTTACTCACCACTTAGGTTAAGAAAAGAATTCGACGAATTCGGAAATCCAGAATCCGAAAAAACAGACCTGCAGCACGGCTTTAGACAAAACCGCTCGTGTATTTCCAGTTTATTGCTCTCGACGGAGCAGTGGACTTGCGCACTGGACGAGGATGGGAGGGTTGATGTCATATACACAGACTTTAAGAAGGCGTTCGACAGCGTCCCACACAAACGGCTAATCTACAAACTTTCTGAAATTGGGATAAGAGGAAAGCTGCTGACATGGATAACAGATTTTCTTACCGGGAGATCGCAAACCGTGTGCATTGAGGCCTCAAGGTCAACTCCTACTCCCGTTCTAAGTGGTGTACCCCAGGGCTCCGTCTTAGGGCCGTTGCTATTCCTGGTTTACATTAACGACTGCGTCGACGACCTGGGATGCAGCGCCATCATGTTTGCTGACGATGTTAAGCTGTGGAGACCCATCAGATCTGATGCAGACAGGTACGCGCTTCAAGACAGTCTCAACCTCCTAAACAGTTGGTCAGCTCGCTGGCTCCTCAATTTTAATGTGGAAAAATGTGTGGTCCTGAGACTCCGCACCAGACGGACCAGTAAGGAGGACGATTCCTTTCAATACGTCCTTGGTGGTCGGTCCCTTTCAAATGTTGTGGAACAGAAAGACCTGGGCGTCCTAATGACCTCCTCGCTGAAACCATCTTCACAGTGTCAAAGAGCGGCCAAAAGTGCGATAAGGGTGTTATTTGCGCTGAGGCGAGGATTTGTGCAGATCGATAAACAGCTGTTCGGAAAAACCTATGGGGCATTCGTCCGGTCTCACTTAGAGTATGCAGTCCAGGCCTGGCGACCGTGGTTGAAGAAAGATTATCAACGACTGGAAAGAGTACAGGCGATGGCTACGAAGATGGTCAAGAATCTTCATCATTTGCCTTACGAAACCAGGCTGACCGAACTAAATCTGTTTCCTCTAAATTACGGGCAACTGCGCGGCGATCTCATTCAAACCTACAGGATTGTCAGAAGCCCTGAGTGTGCCCTAGACTTTGATAAATTCTTTGAATTGGCCCGGACTGACCGCCTGCGTGGTCATCCGTTCAAACTGCAAAGGAAGCGGGCTCATTCGGACGTCCGACGGAACGCCTTCTCTCACAGGGTCATCGGGGCATGGAATGGACTCCCTGATGCCGTCGTTCTTTCCGAAAGTGTCAAATCCTTTAAGTGCAGACAAGATGCTCATTTATTGAGAACCTACTGTACATATGATAATGATTGTTTTAGCGGCGGCAGTTTGCGCCTAGCTCACACTTACCGCTAACTTCTTAACTTTTCGCATTTGCTGATGTAATTGATGACTTTATTTCTGTTTATCGATATGAATAGGGAGTTCAAGGGCGAAAGCCTAATTCGCTTAATAAACTGACTTAAACTGACTGACTTAATTTAATTTAATTTATAAAATGCCAGTTTACAGGCATTGTCAAGGGAAGCGATTAAACACAAATCCGACCAGCAGTGAAAAAAAACTCCCGAGGAATAAAAATATAGTTGATGGTGGTTTTTATGGTTTGGAGGGTTCAGGAGAAAAAAAACTGCTGGCGGTAGATTTTCGACCGTCAAGAAGGGGGGGAGGGGTTTGCACGGTATCGGAGATTATCGGACGTCAATTCCTTTCATGAAGTTGGGGATAGTCAAAGTAGAGGCCTTGAGGAACAGCTGGTAAGACCGGCCATAGTGTTCAGAGACCACAAACGCCATCGCTACGGTACAGTCGATCAGTGGATTCAGAACCCAAAATTTAAGGAAGCTTTTCTGAATGCAAAAATCGAGTAATAGTTCTCTTAAATAAAGTATAATTTTGCAGAGTTTTCACACTCATGGGTAGTTTATTCCAAATAGCAATTGCATTTACAGAAAAGAACCGACGATATTTAACAGCACGTGCCAGAGGCAGAAATAAGAAGACCTCACGGTGACTGTTACGTCGTGGGTGGATATGATGTCTTAAAGAGGTGAGTGGGTTAAATGTGTGATTATATAAGAGTTTAAATAGCAAAAATAGTCCCTTTTGTAATCTACGGAACCATAAAGGATCAAGGCCCGTAAGCCGGCAACGTTCTTGGTAAGACAAATGTCGGTGATCCGCGGCTTAAATTCTCTTGGTAAAAAAGTGTTGAACGGATTCTATTTTCTTCCGCTCAGTAGCACGCATGAGGCTAAATAAAAAAGAACAGTATTCCAGACCAGGTCTAACGTACATGTTGAAAAGGCGCATTCTGATGTCCCTAGTTTTAAAGTTTCGGAGGATAAACCCTGTCGTTCTGCGTGCTTTGGAGACTATCAAGGCACAGTGCTCCGAGAGATTCAGACTCTTGGAGTATGATATGCCCAGATCCTTAATAACCCCGGGCACATTTATGGAGTGACCAATACTTAGTTGAGGTTGGTGGTCGTCGCCG